TCTTTTCATAGGTCCCCATCAGTTTTTGAGCACTTCTTTTCATTTTTCTATAATTAAAAAAATTCCTAATCATGGAGAAAGACCAAGATGCTGACATCATAGGCTCCTGAACTTCCCTCCTCCCGTGGACACACAGAATGTACACACAAAGCAATTGCCTCAGAGAAATTCAGAAACTAGCTGAGTGACTACTATACATCAGGCAAAGGAGAAATACTCACCTCACAAAGGGTAGGAAGGGCTGAGACATACTGTCATCATGAAGCTCATCCTCAGCATAGCACCAAATTGGGAGGGAACCCCCAAGTCCCATCTTCTTCCTGAGGAGTGAAGGGTTTGGACTACACATCTAGTGCCTCAACTTTTAAGGCTTCCACACCAGGGATGGGTTCCCAAAACACCTAGCTCTGAAAGCCAACAGGGCTTATGTCCACAGGCCTGTATCAAACAAAGAAGCAGTTCTTAATGGGAATGGGACTTCCTTTGATAGTTAAACTTTCATTTCAGACTGTGTATTGCTTTGATCTTATATCTATTTTTTTTATTGTACTAAAAACCACATCACATTAAATTTATCATCTTTATCATTTTTAGGTGTACAGCTTGTGAGTGTTAAGTATATTTACATTGTTGTGCAACAGATCTCTACAACTTTTTCATCTTGCACAACAAACTCTATATCCATTGAACACTAATGTCCCCTACCCCCCTCTCTTCTGCACCTGGCAACCATGTTTCTACTCTGTCTCTGACTTTAGCTTAATTTAGATACTTGATGAGTGCAATTATACAGTATTTGTCCTTTTGTGACTGGCTTATTTTGCTTAGAATGTTTGATATTTATCCATGTTGTAGAATGTAACAGGATTTCCCTCTTTTTAAAATCTGCATAATAGTCTGTTGTGCAAATATACCACATTTTCTTTATCCATTCATCCATCAATGGATACTTCGGTTGCTCCCACCTCTTGCTTATTGTGAATAATGCTGTAATGAACATGGGTGCGCAAGTATCTCTTTGAGATCCTGCTTTGAATTCTATTGGATATACACACACAAGTGGGATTGCCAGATCACATGGTAATTCTATTTTTGATTTTTTTGAGAAACCACTATACTGTTTTCCATAGTGGTCGTACCATTTTACATTCCCACCAACAGTGAAAGTGTTCCAATTAATTGCATATTGACTGCATCCTTGCCAGCACTTATTTTCTGTTCTTTTGAATAGTGGCCATCCTAATGGATGTGAGGTGGTATCTCACCATGGTTTTAATTTGCACCTTGCTTATGATTAGTGATGTTGAGCATCTTTTCATGTGCTTATTGGTTATCTGTGTATCTTTTCCAGATAATTGTCTACTCAAGTCTTTTTGCCCATTTTTAAATTGGGTTGTTTGGTTTTTTGTTGTTGAGTTGTAGAAATTCCTTATAATTCTTCAAAAATAAAAAAATTTTAATCCCTTGTCAGATGTATGATCTCTAAATATTTTCTCCCATTCCAAAGTTGGCCTTTTCACTCCATTGATTGTTTCCCTTGAAAGAAGGAACTGTTTAAATTTGATGTGGTTCCATTTTTCTATTTTTGCTTTTGTTGCCTGTGCTTTTAATGTCATATCCAAGAAATCATTGCCGAATCCAATATCCTCAAGTTTCCCCCCATGTTCTTTTAGTTTTAGGTCTTATGTTTTGGTCTTTAATCTACTTTGAGTTAATTTTTTTATGATGTAGGAGTCATTTTTCCTTCTTTTGCATGTGCATATCCAGTTTTCCCCAGTACCATCTGTTGAAGAGACTGTCCTTTTCCCATTGTGCAGTCTTAGCACCCTTGTCACAAATCATTTGGCATTATATGCAAGTGTTTATTTCTGGGCTTTCTATTCTGTTCCATTGGCCTGTAGCTCTGTCTTTATGTCAGTACAACACTGTCCTGATTACTATTGCTTTGTAGTGTGTTTTGAAATCAGGAATTGTGAGGTCTCCAACTTTGTTCTTATTTTTCAAGATTGTTTTGGCTATTTGGGATCCCTTGGGATTCCATATGAATTTTAGCATTTTTTTACTATTTCTGCAAACAAATATCATTGGGATTTTGATAAAAATTGCACTTAATCTGTAGATTGCTTTGGGCAATATGAACATTTTAATGATACTGAGTCTTCCAATCCAAGAACAAAAGGATGTCTTTCTATTTCTTTGTATCTTCCCTGATTCTTTTAGTAACATTTTGTAATTTTCAGTGTACAAGTCTTTCACCTCCTTAGTTAAGTTTACTCCTAAGTATTTTATCCTTTTTGATGTTATAGTAAACTGGGATTGTTTTCTTAATTTCTGTTTTTGAATCGATCATTGTTAGTATACTGAGGTGCAACTAATTTTTCTATGTTGATTTTATGTCCTGAAACTTTGCTGAAATATTAATTCGTTCTAACATGTTTACAAGTGGTTTCTTTGGTACACCTGAAACTAATATTACACTGTATGTTAACTGGAATTACAATAAAAACTTTTAAAAAATGGTTTCTTTAGGGCTTTCTACATATAAGATCACATCATCTGTGAACAGAGAGAATTTTTACTTCTTCATTTCCTATTTGGATGCCTTTTATTTCTTTTTCTTGTCTAATTATTCTAACCCAGACTTTTTAGCATGTGCTTTACCAGTTGATACAGGCTAAGTTATGCTACAGTAATAAAAACAAACAAAAAGCCAACCAAATCTCATAGCTTAAAATAACAAATGCTTATTTATCATTCACTCCAATATTCCCATCATTAGGCTGGGATCCAGGCAAAGCAAGTTTCCATCTTTGTTTTCATGACTGTCAAGAAAAAACAAAGGGGGCAAAGCTAATCACACAATGACTTTTAAAGTGTCTGCCTAGAAATGAGTATGTCATCTTCACTCACATTGCCACACCTAACTTCAAAGCTGGTGGGGAAGAGCAGTCCTACCCTGGGTCCATAAAACAGAGAGTTGGAAATATTTGCTGAACAGCACAAATCAACTGCTACACTCCACCCTTTTAGTTACCAAATATTGAGCTCACTTTCTCACTTTCCTTACCAGAGACCAACCCCCCTCCCCCACAGAGACATCCTCAAAATCTTGTCCAGTCATGACATCATGCTCAAAGTCCAGGAGATCTAGGTAAAGCATATGTATATGTAGTATATCATTATGTACTATATTTAGTAGTATCATTATCAGGAGGTGTGGCTTTTTGTGATCTGAAGACCTATGCACCAAGAGGGCAAATTATCTGCCCTCCTATACCAAATACACAATTGCTGGAACAGGAACAGGACAACCACAGTGAACACTCTCACTCAGAAAAAGAAAGAAAAAAGAGCACATAGAAATGACTGGTTTCCAGCAATTCTGTCTACAAGATAAGCCACACAAGGTCACCTCGGTTTCGGGATAAGGAATTCACAAAAAAGGCTAAAAATAAAAGGATAGCCAAAGATATATAAGGCAAATGCATTACAAAAAAGAAAAAAGAAAGAGAACGCAGAGATCCTGTTCTTAGCATCAGAAAAAATAGAATTCAGGCCCAAATGCATTAAATGAGACAAAATGGATACAATATAATGCTAAAGGCTACAATTCACAAGAAATATATCAGTTATGAGAACCCACGCACAAAATAACACAGTAGCAACTTTCATCAAGTGGAAACTTTAAGAAGTACAAGGGGAAATAAACAAAACATACTAATATTAGGAAACTAATGCATTCCTCTCAGCTTGAGACAGATCAAAGAGTCAAAGTAAGAAGATACAGAAGACCTAAACAATCAAGTAGATCTTATGGATAAATATCAAAACTTTTACCCTGATAATATCCTGATAATAGAGACTGTACCTCCTTTCCAAGTGTACATGGACTGTTCATAAAATTGATGTTATGCCACTAAAAAACCCTCTATATTTTCCATATTGCATATTCAAACAGCATATTTTTTATCTTTTCCCATCTTTTAATTTACCTAAGTATAAGCTATGCACAACAAAATGCACTCATTTTGTGTACATGTCAATGCATTTTGACAAATCAATATATCCAAGTAACCATCACAACAATAGAAATACAGAACATTTCCATAACACCCCCAAATTCCTTTGTATCTGTACAGCCAAACTGCCATCCCCACCTCAGGTAATTAATGATTTACCATCACTATAGATTAGTCTTTTCTAGAGTCTCATATAAATGGAATCATATAGTATGTATTTTTTTGTGTCTGGCCTCTTTTGCTCAACTTGATGATTTTAAGATTCATCTATGTTGCTGTATCCGTTCTTTTCTTTTGTTGCTAAATAGTATTCAATTGTGTGAATGCACCACAATTTATCCATTTACTTCTCCATAGATACTTGGGTTGTTTCCAGTTTTTATCTTTTATGAATAAAGATAATATAAACACTGGTGTACAAGTCTTTGTGTGAATATTGTTTTCATTTCTCTTGGACAGATTTCCTAGGAGTAGAATTACTGGGTTGTGCAGTAAGTGTATTTTCCTATCATGTCCAACTGTTCTGTGTCATTTTGTTTTAGGCGTGTTTTGTAATATCACACAGTCATAAAATTTAAAAAATATCCAACCTGTGCAGTTGTCTTCTTTTTTTTTTTTTTAAGATTTTATTTATTTATTTGAGAGAGGGGGAGAGAGAGAACACACGAGAGGGGGAAGAGGCAGAGGCAGAGGGAGAAGCAGACTCCCCGCTGAGCAGGGACCCTGATGTGGGACATGATCCCAGGACTCCTGGATTATGACCTGGGCCGAAGGCAGACGCTTAACCGACTGAGCCACCCAGGCACCCCTGTGCACTTGTCTTTTAATAAGAAAACTTATTTAGTCACATTCATCATGACTACTGTGCATTTGAACCTTTCTCTACCATCTTACTTTATGTTTTCTATTTACCATTATTTCTTCTTCCCTCCCCTCTTCTGCATTTTTTTTCTCTTTCCTTTTTCGATTTACAGATAGCAAAATATGCAAATCTCCAGTGATGCAGTTCATTGGGTTTTGACAAAACCTGTTTTGTTTTTTTGAGTTTTTTTTTTAATGATTGAGTTCCCGTTTTCATTTCTTCTCTCTGTTGGTTGAGAAGACATATATCTTACATTAGTTAGGATTAAGTTTGACTATGCAATCTAAGTAAAAACCAGGTTGGCTTTTCCAAGGTATTGGCAGATATGATCACTCAGTTTCAAAGCATACATTACCTAACAGCTCTCCCACAGAAAAAGAGAACAACTCTCCAGTAAAAGCTCTGGTTAAGACTATTTGGCTTGAGTTTGATCTCCCAGGTTTGAAATAATCGCAATGGCAAAGGGAATAAGAATATTCTGATTGGTCTAACCAGGAAGATGAAACATCCATATTATGTGCTGGGGTAGGAGTGAGCCACAATCCAGTCCTATAACAATGGTTTTCTTTAAGAGGAATACTGTTAGCAGAGAAGGGAGGGTAGGAAAAGAATTATTTTCAGACCTTTTACTACCCATATATGTATATTACCATGTAAACAGTTGTATAATTTTGTGGTTTAAAAAAAAGTAAAACAGGTATCACACCATATCTAATTGTTCTACGAGTTGCTTCTTTTTAACATTAGGTCAAGTAAGTAACATAGCTCTGATTATTATTAATTGTGGTAAAATATACATAAAATTTACCATTTTAGCCATTTTTAAGTGTATATAGTTCAATATCGTTAAGTACATTTACAGTGTTGTGCGACCAATCTCCACAAATCTTTTTGTCTTGGAAAACTGAAGCTCCATCCTCATTAAACTCCCCATTCCCCGCTCCCTCCAGCCCCTGGGAACCACCTTTCTACCTTTTCTCTATGAATTCAGTTATTGTAGGTACTTCATAAGTGGAATCATAGTATTTATCTTCTGGTCTTATTTCACTTACTCAAGGGTCATCTGTGTTGGAGCATGTGTCAGAATTTCCTTCCTTCTTAAGGTTGCATAGTATTCCATTGTTTGTATATACCAATTTTGGTTATTCGTTCATCTATTGATGGACACCTGGACTGCTTCCACCTCTTGGCTATTGTGAATAATGCTGCTGTGAATATAGATGTGCAAATATCTCTTTAAGATCCTGAGTCGATTCTTTTGTATATACTCAGGAGTGGAATTGCCAGATCATATGGTAATTCTATTTTTAATTCTTCCAGGAATCGCCATACTGTCTTCTCTAGTGACTGTACCATTTTACATTTCCAACAGTGCACAACAGTTCCAATTTCTCCATATCCTTGTCAATACTCATTATTTATTTATTCTTAATAGTAGCCATCTGAATAGGTATGCAGTGGTATCTCATTGTGATTCTGATTTGCATTTCCCTAATGATTAGTGATAGTAAGCATCTTTTTATGTGCTTGTTGGTCATCTGTATATCTTCTTCAGAGAACCATCTATTCAAGTCTTTTGCCCATTTTTAAATCTACTTCTTTTCAAATGCTCGTGACATTCCACAGTATAGCTGACCCTTGAACAATATCGATTTGAACTGCATGGGTCCACTTATACATGGATTTTTTTTTATAGAGTATTAGAAATATTAGAAATATTTGCTCTTCCTTATGATTTTCTTTTTTAAATCTTTTTTTTTTTAAAGATTTTATTTTTATTTATTTGAGAGAGAGAGAATGAGAGACAGAGAGCATGAGAGGGAGGAGGGTCAGAGGGAGAAGCAGACTCCCTGCTGAGCAGGGAGCCCAATGCAGGACTCGATCCCGGGACTCCAGGATCATGACCTGAGCCGAAGGCAGTCGCTTAACCAACTGAGCCACCCAGGCGCCCTCCTTATGATTTTCTTAACCTTTTCTCTAGCTTATGTTATTATGAGAATACAGTGTATAATACATGTAACATGCAAAATATGCATTAATTGTTTATGCTACCACTATGGCTTCCAATCATGAGTAGGTTATTAGTAAGTTTTTGGGGAGTCAAAAGTTATACTCAGATTTTCAACTGTGTGGGGCATCAGTCCCCCAACCCTTGCATTGTTCAAGGGTTAACTGTAGAGATGTAACATAGTTAAGATTCTTTTGATGGGAATTTACATTCTTCTCAATTTTCCTCTATTATAAACAGTGGTGAAATAAGACGCTTCTAGATGCTTCCTTGTTCCCATGTGTGAATGTTTCTTTACACATTTATATTGTACTTATGTGCTTACGTCACACTAATCATGCATATTAAAGAAAATCACCTGTATAATACCTATAAATAACCCAAAAATAGAACTGGGCTCCTTGGGTATCTGTAATTTTTATTTTAATGTCTCTTGCCAAACTTCTGTCTAAAACGGTTATATCTATCTGCACTCTTCTCAGCACTGCATGACCACTCACTTCTTCATACCCTTGTTATATATATTGGAAGATCTTTTGGTCAGCCACTTGTCTTAATTTGGGGGGGCTGCCTTGCACAGAATCTGTAATTTTAATATAGTCACACTTACCAATCTTTTCTTTTATGGCTTTTACATTCTCCATCTTATTTAAGAATTCTGTCCAAAGATTATAGGCATTCTGTGTTTTTTCTAAGACTTCCATAGCTTAAAAAAAAAAGTTCAGATCTTTGATCCACTTGAAATGTATTCTTATGAAGGATATGAAGTAGGAATACAAAAACTTTTTTCAGATGGATAGCCAACTCCCCATTATGATACTATAATAATCACTGACATTTACTGAACAATAATTAAATTGTGTCATGTACTATTCGGTTTCATTCCATCTTACCAGGTTTGTTTTGAGAATTAGACAACACATTTTAAAGAGGGAGCAAGGAAGGCACCAAATGGTTACGTACTATGCCCAACTCATACAGATAGTAACTGGTGGAATCAGGATTCTAACCCCACTAAGAATTACTCCACACTATTTGGCCTTAAAATTTCCTTTTCCCACAGATTTGAAATACTGTCTTGATAATATACCAACTTGCCATAAATATATCGATCTGTTTACGGACTTTCTATTCTACTTCAATGATCTATCTGTCTATTCTTACACTACCTTGTGACCATTTAAAATATCTGATCTTGTTATTCACCTTAATTAAAATTTTAATAAGCTCCTATTGACCTCACAATCAAGTCCAAACCCTTTAGTATGTCATATAAGGCCCCCTCCCAGCCATCTCCTACCCCTGGAGTCTCAGATGTGGGTACGATCTCTTTCTCCTATGTTCTAGTTAGAAAAACCTTCTAGTAGTTGTATGCGCAGGCCAAGCAATCATTCCATGTTAACATCCATGTCTCCGTGCTTTTGTTCATATGCTTCCTATGCCTCATTTTCTTTACTTCATATACTGGGCAAGCACTTACTCATTTTTAAAGATTAACTCAAATATTACTACCTCTAGCCTTCCCTCCCTCCCCATTCTAACCAAGTAGAAAGAAATCATTCTTTTCTCACATACAGGTCTATTCCCTCATACTTTTAACCTGGCACCATTATATGACTATATTTATTCATATATATGTTTCTCTTTTCCCCTATAATAATACGAATGTCTTCAGGGCAGGACCCTACCTTATTAAGTACCTAGCATAACCTTAATAAGTATTTGTTGAGTAAATCAATATAAAACAACCACCATCAAATTATATGAGCAATCATCTGATTTATAAAAAGATGCAACAATATTTAAAATGATACAAAATATCAATTTCAAAACATCAAAAAGTGAGTGTTTTTAACCATAGTCAGCTCATAACAGAGCAAATGGGTAAGAAGAATAATTCATGCTACAGCATACTGCTAATACGAACAGGCAACAGAAAAAGTTGGTAAAGGAAGGCAGAGGAACTCTATCTTTTAAGAATTAGAACCGAGGGGCTCCATAATCATCTGGCATCCGCTCAATGTTGTACCTGATCAGGACAAAAAATTAACACTGGTAAGAAAGGTGGGTCCAGAACCCACCTAAAAACCCATCCTTTACTGACTGCAACACTTTCACCTCCCCACTATGAATCCTTTTTTGTCAGTGGGAACATTTTAAAGGGATATCATAATGAATGATTTACAACAAAATGCTGACTTTAATATCTTTATTCTTCAAAGTCAGAAAGTTAACAAGTGAGGGAGCCAGGCACTAAGTCCAGGTAAGCCCAACTCCTCCCACTATATTGTGTTCTTCCCAGGTTGAAAAGTGAGACAGTAATAGACTGAGCACTAACATGGAAACATCCAAGCAGGATAAAGATCAGTTTTTGGTTTTTTTTTTAAATAAGCTTTTAGTTTCCCAGATAAGGTGCTGATCACATATACTAGGCTTTCAAAAAAAAAAGATATTTCTGGCCAAAAAGATTAGCTTAATTTCAAATACTGCTTTGTATTTAGAGCTACACATCTCTATTTCTTCTAGTAATCTTACTGTAGCATGGGAATGTCTGCCTCATTCCCAAATTGTAGTTTTATCTTTTGCCCTTGTTCTTGTTACTTTGTCTCATTTCTTCAAATATAACTATGTGAGCCTTTGATATAACAATTGCTTTCAAATCTTCCTATAACCTGACCTCATTTTTAATTGATATCAGCTATATACTTTTAATCACTTCCCCCAAGAGACAGTTCTCACCTATGGTTAGAAATGTACATGATGGGAACTCCAGGGATCTTCCGGATCCTTCGCTTAAGGTCCCGGTCAACTGTGGCCACAATGTAACACTTGTGCTGTAAGAGACACCATTGAGTGTTCACACATTGAGTCTACTTAGTGATACTGAATAATGGTACACTGGCTAATCTAGAGAATTACTCATTTTCACAGTAATTAGTGAAGGAAAGGTTATAACAATTTGTTGAGTACCTACTATGATCTAGGAGTTCATATTTATAAAACACATAACAAGTTGCCAAGGGGGAATGTAGCTCTAAGAATCTTAAGGGGGAGAAGATAGAAAAATTATTTAAAAGCTGCAAATTGTTTTTTGTCTCGTAAGTGGAAGGGACTTTCACATTTAGGGCAGATGATTTCTTGGTTTGGGGAAATACCCCAAAAGACTCAATGCAAAGGCAGAGTAAATGCCTTAGACCGGAGGGCACACTTTTGCCTTTCCTGGAGCCTCTGGGCTTGGGCCTACTCTGACAGCTCCTAGGGGTGGAGGCAGGCTACTTCCTCAGCCATGAAGCCAGAATGGATCGCCAGGACAAGTCTGAGCCTAGGAGTTCTGAAAGCAGTACCATTTAGCTGCCAGCTGTATTATATTTTACTTCCATCATACCCCAATCTCCCATTCAATTTTGAAAAGAGTTGTAGCCTGGTGTCAGCTGTGCTGTGGGAAGTTAAGGCAAATGCTGTCTCCACCCATGGGATGGAGTGGCTAAAGGGATGGCAGTGTGGTCACCAGATGAAGATGATTATCCCCAGCAGAGGAGGCTCCAGTAAGGGCAATCAATGGCAGAAGTTCTTGTGGTGCTTGACAAGGAGGCCAGAACAGAAGAATCAAAAACCTAGTTATTCCAGGTACTTGTAAGACAGCATCCTGGGATACTCAGATGTAAGTGAGAAACACTTGCTTAGGCATGGTGGAGAGGAACAAAATTCCTGCATGGGGGGAATAATGGAAATGGATGATTTCTGATTCACAGGGAGGTGAAACCTGATATTATATGTACACTCACTCACTTAAAGCATTTTATAGAGATGATTGGCGGAATAAAGAAATCAGTAAGTGCCCCAAATCACATACCCAATTAAATGCAGGTGCTGAGATTTGAAATCCATATCTCCTCCCCAAGCCTGTGATTTTCCCATTACAGTTAGAGTATACATTTCCAGTCCACTTCCTCAAGTAAATAAGGGCACCTATGCTTCCTGTGAAGCACAAAGTCAACATTTAAAAACTGATGATACCTGAGTTACTCTCTGTACTAAGCAGTCATCTGCATAGGTTCCTTTGTGTGTGCATGGTAATCGTTCAAATCTTGGATCCTTGGCAATCCTAAAGGGTTACAAAACTGGATTAACAACAATTCAGGCAATTGGATAACTTTCTGACTCTTTATCTGTGAAATAAGAGTGACTTGATCTATGTAGAGATTTTAAGGCACCTCTCACCTCCTGCAACTTATCTTCTAATTGGAAAGACAACTGAGAGAAGCTGGTGTGCCTTAGGTCATGTAATCTTCACAGAACTTTGAATTACATTTCCATTTTACAAACGAGGAAGCAGATTCAGAGAGATTAATTAACTTGTTCTAAGTACACAGGTGGGAAAAGCCAGGATTCAAAACCAAACAATTTTAACCTAACCATTTCACTTTTAGAAGCTGTCTTACACAAATGTGCAAGAATATAGGCACAAGGATGGCCACTACAGAACACTTTATAATAGTGAAAAACTGCAGATAGTCTGAATATCCATCAGCAAGGTAAAAATTAAATATATTTTGATGCCCACCCTGTTTAAAAAAAAAAAAAAAAGCATGAGATACAGCTATCTGTACCAACATGGAAGGCTTGCTGAATAAACAAACTCAAAAAAATTCAAACTGTTGAATAAAAAAAGTCATTGAACAATATACATATATGATTCAATTAAGGAAATACAAATCTCTTTCATTGTCTTTCTCTACACTTGCATTTGCTTAGAAAAAAGGTCTGGAAAAACATACTAATTATACACTAACCCTTCTCAGTTGTTACCATTAGGGTGGAAGAATGGACAAAGTGTGAATATGCCGGGGGACTTCTACTTTTTATTGTATATACATGTTTACCTTGTTTGCCATAAATAAATCAAACATGTTATTTTCATACAAATTTGAAAAAAGAAAAACCCCAAGTCTGTGATTCCCAGAACCATGTTCTTCCTATTACATAATGACGAGTCACAAACTGAATAAAACTACAAGGCAGCACATAGGTACCAAGTGCAAGAAAAATATTCCATATTGCAGTAGTTCAGAGCTAAGTCACTGTGAATTTGGTATACTTAAAAAAAATTATATGGAGGGGCACCTGGGTGGCTCAGTTGGTTGGGCGACTGCCTTCGGCTCAGGTCATGATCCTGGAGTCCCAGGATCGAGTCCCGCATCGGGCTCCCTGCTCGGCGGGGAGTCTGCTTCTCCCTCTGACCCTCCCCCTCTCATGCTCTCTCTCTCTCTCAAATAAATAAAATCTTAAAAAAAAAAATTATATGGAGATTAAATAAAATAAAGACGAAAGAATATTCCATGCAAAGTGAGGGCAGGCATGTTCCAAACAGGGCACCAACCATCTATAAAATGGTTCATTGGTGTTCAGGGAGGAGCAAGCACATCTCTGGTAGGGAAAGAGTGTTTGTGCAGAGGAGAGTGAAACAGGGCTGGGAAGACAGAACTTTCTGCAGTGATATTGCCAAATTGCTCTCCAAAGTTGACTGTCCACTTTACATCCTTATCTGTTGAATATGAGAATTCCCACTGGTCCCCAGTCCCAACTATTCATGGCATTGTTAAGTAGACTTTTCAATTCTTGCCAATCTGCTGGGCATGAAATGATATCTCCTTGTGAATTTAAGGATTTTGTCTTTTTCTTATGGATTTGTAGTTTTTTATGTATTTTGAAAATAAACCCTTTGTTGATTATATGCATTACTAGTATCTTCTATCTGTGACTTATTGTTTTGCTTTGTTTATGCTGTCTTTTGTTATAAAGTAGTATTCAATTTTTTTTTTTAAAGATTTTATTTATTTATTTGACAGAGAGAGAGCGCAAGAGAGCACAAACAGGGGGAGGGTCAGAGGTAGAGGGAGAAGCAGACTCCCTGCTAAGTAGGGAGCCCTATACGGGGCTCGATCCCAGAATCCTGAGATCATACCTGAGCCCAAGGCAGATGCTTAACTGACTGAAGCTACCCAGGTGTCCCAGTATTCGATTTCAATATAGTCAGATTGATTAGTTTTCCATTATGGTTTGGACTTCTTCAGAAAGCCCTGCCCACTCCAAAATCACTAAGATAGTCTCTATATTTTCTATAAAAGTCTAGATACTTAATCTACCTGGAACTGATTTTTGTGAAAGAGGTAAGAATCCAGTTTTGTTTCTTTCCACAGTGATAATCAATATTTTAATAGTTTATCACTTTCCCATTCAGCTAAACAGTGCTACCACTCTTATACATTGGGTTCCTATTTTTCTTTGCCTTTAAAAAAACTAGCTTTATTAGGTATAAATGAAGTATAATAAAATTCACTGATAGTATGTGTAAAATTTGACGAGTTTTGACAAATTTATATATCCATGTCCCTATCTCCATAATTGAGATATAGAACATTCCTGTCACTACAAAAAGTTCCTTGTGTCCCTTTGCAGTTAATCCACTTTTCTCATGCTCAGCTCCAGTTAACCACTATGTTCTATTAGTCTAGTTTTGCCTTTTCTGGAATTTCATATAAATGGAATCACACTTCTGGAGTGATGGAAATGTTCTATTTCATGACTATGATGGTGGTTCCATAACTGTACACATTTGCCTAGCCCAGCAAATTATACAATTAAACTTGGTGAATTTTACAGTATGCAATTTATAACTCTAAAAGGTGACACACAAAGAGACGCACAAATTCACTGGTACATCTTGGACCTTGACTGAATCTTTTACCCATGCATGATTTTGTAATATTATTCATTGATCATTTGGAAAATACCAACTCATTGAATCACACAAATCTTCCCAAATATTAACACATTTCATTATACAATACCAAAAAAATCATACTCAGTATCTTCACTGGTCTCAACAGAAAGGTCTTTAGTATTGGGAATGTGATAAGCTCATGATTTTTCAAAACTCTAATTTTCAGTGCTCGCTTAAGCAGCACATATACTCAAAACTCCAATTTTCACTTGAAAGCTTGAATTTTATCATTGGCAACTAATACCGTTAAGTTGTTTTCCTTGAAGTAACAGATTCACTGCATTAATTTTTGAGAAACTATCTGCAAAATATAGTCTGAAAAATCAGTGTTTGTCAGTTATTCTTCACATAAAAATGATATTCCATGAAAAAGCAGCTGGTTTGGCTCACAACTCAAACAAGCACAAATGCTCTTCACTAAGGCAAGCTTGACTCTTGGGTATGCAACAGAAATGCTGTAGGTATATTTTACACTTCATCACAAGGAATACCGACGTGTACTCTAGGGTCGAAATTTAACAAAGTCAACAAATTCTACTGCTTCATCAAGGATATTCTTAAGGGACTCTGTTTTGGGGCTTTTTTTTTTGAAGATTTTATTTATTTGACAGAGAGAGACACAGTGAGAGAGGGAACACAAGCAGGGGGAGTGGGAGAGGGAGAAGCAGGCTCCCCTCTGAGCAGGGAGCCCAACGCAGGGCTCAGTCCCAGGACCCTGAGATCATGACCTGAGCCAAAGGCAGACGCTTAACAACTGAGCCACCCAGGTGCCCCTAAGATTTTATTTTTTTAAGTAATCTCTAAAACACCCAATTTAGGGCTCAAATTTATAATCCTGAGATCAAAAGTTGCATGCTCTACCGACTGAGCCACCTGAGCACCCCTGCATTGTTTTTGTTTTTTGTTTTTAACTGCCAGTGAGTGGCAGTGAAGAATACGAAGTCTACTAACATTATTTGGGTCCACTGTCTTGATTGGTACTAAGGCACCAGCATTTCTGCCATCAGTATAAATGTCAGCACAGTGACAAAGACAACGTCTTGATATTATTATGAAAATAGTTTTGTTAAGCTCCCTGCAAAGATCTCCGGACTCCTACGGGTCAATGGACCATACTTTGGGAACCACTACTTTTAATTCAAGTGTACTTTCTAGAGTAAGCTCAAAACTCAGAATGTGGATCCTTTAAGTGTGAGATTCTAAAAGAGATATCTAGATAACTAATAAAAAGACACTTTCTAATTGGAAATCTAGAGGAACTTAAAAGGAGGTCTACAAGACCAATATGACTACCTAACTTCATTCACAAAACTTCAGCTTAGGGGTGCCTAGGTGGCTCAGTCGGTTAAGTGTCTGACTTCAGCTCAGGTCATGATCTTGGGCTCCTGGGATAGAGCCCCAGGGACCAGCCAGCTTCCTGCTCAGGGGGGAGCCTGCTTCTCCCTCTCCTCTGCCCACTGCCGCCCCCCCTCCACCCCGGCTCATGCTCTCTCTCACATAAATAAATAAAATCTTTAAAAAAAAAATTTCAGCTTAAAATTCTTTAACCTTCAAATGTTTGCTTTCTTGATCATAAATAGTTAACTAGTTTTTTATATTTAAACTAATTATCCAAGAAATCACACAGCAAATAGATGAAGGAGGATCAAAAGAATCTTCAGTATAACAATCTAGACTAGCTCCTTCCTACCTTAGAGCCACTCGATACTTTTGCCCCAGTTTCTCAATTTCAGCCATCACACAGTCAGTTATACAAGGGATACCTGCCAGGAAAAAAAAAAATACATATTAATAACAGAACTTGTAAAGAAACTTTGGTTTTACTCTCTGAATTATATCCCATTGAGAGTCTTTAAAAGACCCATGAGGCTTCTGGAATGACAGAATAACACACTGAACCATGAGAACTAGAGGTGAATAAAATCCCTTTTGATGAGGAGACTAGAGAACCAAATGGTCCCAACCCCACACTACAGATTCATAAAGTGTCATGAATGTGCCTGGGGGAAAAAAATTAAGCTAGATCCCTATCATTCTTTTTATATTAAAATAAATTCTAGATGGAAAAAAATTTAAATATGAACCAAAAGAAACCATGCAATTAATCAGAAAATGTAAATTTGATCACATAAAAACAAAACATTTCTGTTTGACAGCTATCAAAGTCATATTAAAATACAAATAAACTAGGAAAAATATTTCTACACATTCATCAAAGGGCGAATTTCTTTAACATACAAAGAGCTTGTAATGATAGCTTAAGTTATGTGCTATTTGCCAGACACTGGGCGAAGCACTTTATGAGGATAGCTCACTTCATATTCAGAATAATTCCTATCAGGTAGCATTGTTATTATTATCATCCCCATTTTATAGATCAGGAACCTAAGGCACAAAGAAATAAGTAGAAGCAAATGGTGAAGCCGAGATGTGAACGGAGACAGTCAGGCTATAGACTTTTTTTGTTTGTTTTTTTAATTTCATTTTATTATGTTATGTTAATCACCATACATCATTAGTTTTTGATGTAGTGTTCCATGATTCATTATTTGCGTATAACACCCAGTGCTCCATTCAATATGTGCCCTCTTTAATACCCATCACCAGGCTAACCCATCCCCCCACCCCCCTCCCCTCTAGAACCCTTTGTTTCTCAGAGTCCATAGTATAGACTGGATTCTTAACCACACGCTACATTTCAGTTCATACACTTCAGGTCATAGAGGAAGACACACAATGGTCAATGAGCATAAGGGTGCTCAATCTCACTCCTAATTAAAGAGCTATAAATTGAAACAGTATTTCATTTTCTACCTATTAGAGCGGCAAAGATTAAACAAGGAAAATACCCAATACTGAGGAAACAGGTATTCTCACACTAAGTAGGTGTAAAAATGTGTATCACTATTTTAGGGCAATTTTGCAATACCTTTTAAAATAAGAAAATATACATACCCCTTGATATTGCAATACAGCTTCTGGAAATGTATCCTAAAGAATTACTCTACCCTAACAGAGACATATTCACATAGATATTCACTACAACAGCCTTATTTATAATAAGGTAAAAACTACAAGTAGGGCGCCTGGGTGGCTCAGGTGGTTAAGCGACTGCCTTCGGCTCAGGTCATGATCCTGGAGTCCCTGGATCGAGTCCCGCATTGGGCTCCCTGCTCAGCAGGGAGTCTGCTTCTCCCTCTGACCCTCCCGACCCTCCCCCCTCTCATGCTCTCTCTCTCTCAAATAAATAAATAAAATCTTTAAAAAAAAAAAAAAAACAAAACTGCAAGTAATCCAAAATATCTAATAGGATATCGACCTTTAAAAATCATATAAATACTATGTAAACTAAAAAAAAGAATGAGGTCCACTATATATACTGACACAGCAAAACGTTCAAGATATATTTGTTCAAGGGGCACCTGGGTGGCTCAGCTGGTTAAATGTCTGCCTTTGGCTCAGGTCCTGGGATGGAGCCCTACGTTAGGCTCCCTGCTCAGCAGGAGTCTGCTTCTCCTTCCTTCTGCTCTCCCATCCCCCACCCCAGCTCGTGTGTGCACACGCTCTCTCTCTCTCAAATAAATAAAAAACCGTTAAAAAAAAAGATATATTTGTTATTTGTTCAATGTAAAAAGTAAGAAAAAATGGATGAGTAATCTAGCCACACAATGGAATATTATTTGGTAATGAAAAGAAGTATGTACTGATACATGCTTTAACACAGACAAGCCTTGAAAACATGCTAAATGGAAGAGGACAAAACATTATATGATCTCACTTTAATGAAATGTCCAAAATAGGCAAATCTATAGAGACAGACTGCAAATTAGTGGTTGTCTAGGGAGGGAAATGGGAAAGGTTGGGGATGATGGTTAAGGGGTTCAGAGTTTCTCTTTGGATAATAAAATATTCTAAAATTGACTTTGAATATGCTAAAAGCCATTGAATCATACACTTTAAATGGTATGTGAATTATATCTTAGAGCTGTTAAAAAACGCACAAAGACATATAGTAAATAATCTATGATCCATTTTCATTAATAAAATAAACAAAAATAACCTATAATTCACAGAGATTGTATACGAAGTTTTAGAGGGGCACCTGGGTGGCTCAGTCAGTTAAGGATCTAACCCTAGATTTCAGCTCAGGCCTTGATCTCAGGATCGTGAGTTCAAGTCCCGCAATGGGCTCCGCAATGGGCTCCACGCTGGCTGTGGAGCCTATTAAAAAAACATAAAAAATAAATAAAATAAAAATAAAAACTGTCCCCCTCTGAGGAAAGGCATTATAGGGAGCTTTAATGTTTTTATGCTAGATTTTTTTTTTACAAGTACAGAAATATTTTTGAATGTGGACAAAGTTAAATTTTAAACTAAGTACAATGTCCAGAAGAAAAAGCAGTTGTAAAATGGAGATATGAAATCAGTAAGATCAGACAGTCATGGAATCAGAGGGCATTACACACCTTAAGAGGATCAATTTCAGAGCCATGTAGCAGTAAAGCAAGCAAGGGCTTGCATCTGGAGCAGGAAAGTAGGCCCAGGAAGAGGACTATCAAGAAAGGGAAGGTAACAGGGAAGAGCACTCATGGGCAGAAAAGAAAGCTGATGGAAAGCTAACTATCCTCCCTTGTTGGACTATCAGGCAGAAATGGGACCAGGAGCTATGAAAAGGTCAAAGGGGCATCTTTAAGGGAAGAGGAAGATAAAGGTCTTCCTTCAGGCATAAAGGCAAGTGAGGAAAAATTAAATAGCTAGAGCTTAAAAACAGTTAAGGAATCTCCTAGGTAACTGAATTTGTACTATACTTGAATGTTTGTTTCTTCAACTTTTCCTTTGAGGTATTATGTTACATAGAAGATTACAGAAAGTGGTATTTTCCTTAATAAGTTTTTATTTATTATTATTAATTTTTTTTTTTAGAGAGAGAGGGGTGGAGAGGGAGAGAGAGAATCTTAAGCAGGTTCCACGTCCAGCATGGATCCCAAAACCAGGTTCGATCTCACAACCCTGAGATCATGACCTGAGCCAAAATCAAGAGTTGACGCTTAACTGCCTGAGCCACCAGTCAAGTTTGAAGTGCCCCAGTAAGTTTGTTTTCAAAAAAGGCACAGTGAGACTTCAACAAATGGTGTTGGGAAAATTGGACAGCCACATGCAGAAGAATGAAACTGGACCATTTCCTTACACCACACACAAAAATAGACTCAAAATGGATGAAAGACCTAAATGTGAGACAGGAATCCATCAAAATCCTAGAGAACACAGGCACCAACCTCTTCGACCTCAGCTGCAGCAACTTCTTCCTAGAAACATTGCCAAAGGCAAGGGAAGCAAGGGCAAAAATGAACTATTGGGACTTCATCAAGATAAAAAGCTTTTGCAAAGCAAAGGAAACAGTCAACAAAACCAAAAGACAACCGACAGAATGGGAGAAGTATTTGCAAATGACATATCAGATAAAGGGCTAGTATCCAAAATCTATAAAGTACTTAACAAACTCAACACCCAAAGAACAAATAATCCAATCAAGAAATGGGCAGAAGACATGAATAGATATTTTTCCAAAGAAGACATCCAAATGGCCAATAGACACATGAAAAAGTGCTCAACATCACCCGGCATCAGGGAAATCCAAATCAAACCTCAACGAGATACCACCTCACACCAGTCAGAATGGCTAAATTAACAAGTCAGGAAACGACAGATATTGGCGAGGATGCGGAGAAAGGGGAACCCTCCTAGGCTGTTGGTAGGAATGCAAGTTGGTGCAGCCACTCTGGAAAACAGTATGGAGGTTCCTCAAAAAGTTGAAAATAGAGCTACCCTATGACCCACCAACTGCACTACTGGGTATTTATCCCAAAGATATATCCGAAGGGGTATATGCACCCCAATGTTTCCAGCAGCAATGTCCACAATAGCCAAACTGTGGAAAGAGCCAAGATGTCCATCAACAGATGAATGGATAAAGAAGATGTGGTATATATATACAATGGAATATTATGCAGCCATCAAAAAAAAAAAACCCAAAACCAAAATCTTGCCATTTGCAACAATGTGGATGGAACCAGAGGGTATTTTGCTAAGCGAAATAAGTCAATCAGAGAAAGACAAGCATCATATGATCTCACTGATACGAGGAATTCTTAATCTCAGGAAACAAACTGAGGTGGGGGTGGGAGGGATGGGGTGGCTGGGTGATAGACACTGGGGAGGGTATGTGCTATGGTGAGCGCTGTGAATTGTGTAAGACTGAGAAATCACAGACTTGTACCTCTGAAACAGATAATACATTATATGTTAAAAAAAAAAAACCAAGTAGATAGTAGGATGGGAAAAATGAAGGAGAGTGGGAATCGGAGGGGGAGATGAACCATGAGAGACTATGGACTCTGAGAAACAAACTGAGGATTTTAAGAGGGGAGGAGAGTGGGGGGATGAGTTAGCCTGGTGATGCGTATTAAGGAGGGCATGTTCTGCATGGAGCACTGGGTGTTATATGCGAACAATGAATCATGGAACACTACATCAAAAAAAAAAAAAAAGAAAAGGCACAGTGAGAGCATTTAGCTGTACACATTATAGCTGTACTCCAAGGTATCCATATCTAGAAAAAGCACTCCTCTAGGACGAAAGCTTTCCTAAATGGTCACCATTTAGATAATAGTGATGGAACTATAGAGTCAAGGAAACAATTCACCTTCAAAGGGCCATGCCTGAACCCTCCATTGATTTTATTTATAAGTAGGTCACAGCATTCCTAGATAAGCAGCTAGCACACTTTACTTATAGTTATAAAAAAGACCATGGGAATACAAAAAGTCTACCAAAGTTTAGTGTCTTCCCTCATCCAAGACCACCCTAGTCCGCTCTCACAGGCAGGTAGGGCCCCCAGTTCAGGTTATTCTTTATTATTCCTACAAGCTTAAAACAATTAAAGTATTACATATACATAGCTTAAAAAGAAATATGGAAAAGTCTGTATGAAAAAATTACTGTTCCTTGATCCTTTCCCACCCACCAATTCTGATCCTTACAGACCACTATTTTACTTCATTAGCTGTTTTTCTCATTTGGTGGTTACCTTCATATATTGATATAATAAACTTATACACTTTTATATTTATTAATTTTATGGCATTTAAAGAATTTAGGTCTCTTACTCATCACATTTCTTAGCCCATCTTCCAAACTTACTAGTTTCAATAAATCAATAAACAACATTTACGTTATTATCATTCTATAAATGTTCATTAGATAGCATCCTTTAAAAATTAAAGGACGTGCAAATTTTTTCCTTTGATTTATTCTTTTTTTTTTTTTTTTTAAAGATTTTATTTATTTGACAGAGAGAGACACAGCAAGAGAGGGAACACAAGCAGGGGGAGTGGGAGAGGGAGAAGCAGGCTTCCCGTGGAGCTGGGAGCCCGATGCGGGGCTCGATCCCAGGACCCTCGGACCATGACCTGAGCGGAAGGCAGGCGCTTAACGACTGAGCCACCCAGGCGCCCCTCCTTTGATTTATTCTTTATGGCAAGGTATAAGTCTAGTTTTCATTTGTACCTTTAACTAGATGATTGGAAAAAATATAAATGTAAATCCACCACAAAATGCAACAGATCTCATTATTAGGAAGTGATTCCCTTGCACATGGCCTAGATTTTCTTCTTCTTACTCATGGTAGTGAAGGAAGATCACTTGAAGGAGGGGACACCCAAACACAAGAGAAAGCTACTAATGGTAAACTGCATACCTAGGTGGAAATAAACTATGTCTGGTCCTTTGTGGTGCAAATAAACACCAAATTGAATAAACTTAAGAGCTGTTAACCAGCATCACTTCTAGTTCTGTGACCATAAATAGCAAAATATCTTATTTAGCTTTTCTACAATGGAGTGGAATGGAAAATGTTTCCTCCTTAATGTAAAACAATTCTGAAAAATGTAATAAATTTTCATTTACCCAGAATTTTAAAATCCAGAATTCTAAAACAAAAAATGCCCACCCCATGTTCAAAATTGATGTCCACAACATTAAAGCAGGCTAAGTGTGTTCTGATTGTGAGGTTTAATTACTACCAGTCACGTCTGCATTATATTTCAATTCACCGAAAATGGTCATTGCCACAGTGAGCAAATTAAATGACCAGAAATCCAACTAACTAGGACCCCACTCCCCTCTTTTCATGTATTTGGATAATTATAATTACTCTGTACAAATGACATGAAATGCAAAAGTATGATACTCACACTTGGCATACAGACAGTCCATCATTGACTGTACTAAGTCAAGTTTCGCTTTAATGGAAAAGTTGATAAAGTTGGTATCAACCAGGATGTGGTAAGGTGGGCCCAGCTGTGTGTTATATTGGAAGAATAAGCAGGAAGGATGTTGGGGGCTGAAGGAAGAAGATACAAAACACAAAGTAATGTCTACATTGATACTTTGATATCAACAATGCAAATGAAGTTCTGCTTCGAACTGTTTGCTATAGATTAAGCTCCTTTTTCCTTATTCATTGGAAATAAATCCTAATAAATCCTGTGACGAAATATCCATTACCAATCTAGGGCAAAATGAGATAATAAAGAAAATATGATAAGGTTTCATAAAATTAGGTGTATTTATTTAAAAGGAATGACCTTTATCCTGAAATTTTGTCCTTACTATTTTTGGTGAAACATTCTTTCATCAAATGCTGATCTGTTAAACAGTGACAACTGTTTCTTTTGAAAGATCTTGGCAAAGAAGAAAAATTAATAATTCTAGATCTAATCCCTAAGATTTTAGGGGAAATTTCACTGCTTCATGAAATCCAAAAACTTTCGAACTACTGGAATGGATACATGTTCACTAATATCACTTTCATTTGCATAGTTGTGCCAGACTTACAGATGGCTTACAAAACAGCTTAGGGAAAGCCCGGATTTCTAAGATTTCTATGGTTCTAAAAATCTCTTCTACATTTAAAGGAAAACTTGAAATTTTTGATTACTCACACTTCTCTTTCCTTGAGTGCACTGGGATCTTTCTTTTCTTTCTTTTTAGGTTTTAATCTGTCCTTCTCTTTACTAGGAAAAAAGAAAGTAAATTAAATGCAAAAGAAAAAAATCAATGCAGTTATAATCTCATTCAACATGTAAAGTTTCTTTCTTCCTTCTTTTTTTTGCTTACAGAGGAAATCCTATTTTGTGATTTTTTCATGTTAATATCCATAGCACAGATAATTAAGTGGGAAGTAGGCTGAAAGTAACTAATCAGTTAAACATAATGAAATTTAAGAATCTCTAGCCAATAATCCATAAAAATTATTAATGGGGGGGACGCCTGGGTGGCTCATTCAGTTGAGCATCTGTCTTCAGGTCAGGTCATGATCCCAGGGTCCTAGGATTGAGTCCCACATTGGGCTCCCTGCTCAGTGGGGAGTCTGCTTCTCCCTCTGCCTGCTGCTCCCCTGCTTGTGCTCTCTCTGACAAATAAACAAAATCTAAAAAAAAAAATTGTTAATGGGTAAATAAAAGTTATACTATCATTTCTTTGTCAGAAGCTCTTTGTATCAAGGATCAAAATCCACTTCAATGCGGTGAAAAAACAGGCTGACATTTATCTTCTGAAGACTCAAATGTTCCAACAGTAGGGAGGAAAAAGCTTCCCCCATATGCCTCTTAAAAAAGGCTAAAATGTTGGTTAAGCAACTGCCTTCGGCTCAGGTCATGATCCTGGAGTCCCGGGATCGAGTCCCGCATCGGGCTCCCTGCTCGGCAGGAAGCCTGCTTCTCCCTCTGACCCTCCCCCCTCTCATGTACTCTCTCTCATTCTCGCTCTCTCAAATAAATAAATAAATCTTAAAAAAAAAAAAAGGATAAAATGTAAAAATACATACACAAAATTTAACCCTTAACTGGAAATAAAATATTATCAATGAGGCAAGTTCCCTAAAAATTACATAATACATACATACTAAAGGCTGAGAATACAATTTAGTAACTCTGAAGGCCATTCCTTTGTTCTAAGGTTATTAAACACAATGAAGACCAGTCTTTTTTCTTTTCTCTCTTTCCTTTCCTTCCTTCCTTTCTAAAGTAAGCTCTAGGCCCAAGGTGGGGCTTGCACTCCCCACCCTAGATCAACAGTCTGATGCTCTACTGACTGAGCCAGCCAGGTGCCCCAAGACCAGTCCTTATTTCCTAACTTTGTTCTTCACTGAAGCAGGGAAGCTTACAACAGGGAATGTCATTTCACTTTCCCACAGTGGTTTAGAGTCTTTGGATAAAATGGAGACATCTAGGTGTCTTCCCATTCTTTCTTTTAAAAGTAAGTGGCAGGTGCTGGAGCCACAAGACAAACATGGTCTCTGACCTCACCGTCTTTCAACAATTTCAACATTTTTTTCCCCTGGGGAATATAAGAAGTGTAATGGCAAAAACACAAAGATATTCCTACCTACCAAACTCCTAGGAGGCTTAAATGTGATATTGTAGATAAAATATATAAAAACGGTGGAAGAGAGCGAACACTTCAGTAATGTTTAATTTCCATCCCCTTCTCCAGAGTAATCGCTCAGCATCTAAGTGGCTGTTACACACTTGCCTACTATCCTATGCTATATAAAACCAAGACACAATAATTTTTAACGTAAACACAAAATAATGACAAAACTTTACTACTTGATGCCCTCTTAACTCTTATATCTTTGGGAATAGATTGATTCCAGATACTCACAGCCTCTGATCTCGGAGACTAAGCATTCGCTTCATGGTGGCATACTTTCTTGCTTTCTTTTGCTTCCCCTTGAAACAGAAATTTTAGAGTTAAAAGAATTGGAAATACATCGTATCTTCTTGAGTTCTTTCTCTTGTTTTGTCCACTCCCTTCCCTTCTTCCCTCAAATACCCAGCACCTCTTTGTGCCCCAAACTGGTCCTCCTGTCCCCACTCACTAGAGCATAGCAGGCAACGCTCGAGCAGTTCAAGAACTACAATCAGAACGAAAACAATTAAGGGTAATACAGAGGAAATTTGGCCAACGGCTGATCGGCTCAATCTGCTCCCCTAAAATGTGGTCTTACAAAATCACTTCTCAAACCCTCCTCTCACCATGTTCACGCCGTGCTCTTGTTTCTTCCGGAATCACGAACCGCGCGACACTTCTGCGTCATCCAAATACTGCTTCCTGCAAAGGCTGGCCCGGAAGCGGAAGCCGCTTTGGGAAACGGAAAAGCTTGGAGCCGGTTCCCAGCTGGAGCCGAGATCCGTATTGGGGTCTCGGGGGGGAGGGTCTTGGGCCAGGCTTGCGACGGGTGCTGCCGCCGCCGCTCCCGGCAGCAGAGCTGGGACTCCGCCGCGCTGCTCGGGTAACGTTTCTCTCCCCTGCCTCTCTAGCCCGGGGCAGTGCAACGAGGACCTCCCTGCACCAGAGGTCCAGAGAGGCAGGACAGGGGTAGGGGGAACGGAATTCTGGGTTTTCCAGTAGTCTAGGGAAACACATTCTCCTCATCCCTCAGCGCTGAGGTGTCAGGTCTCTAGGGTGCAATTGGGAGGTTCTATTACCTACTCAGTTCTCCTACCTGACATGGGTGCTTCGTGCAACTAGGTGGATGATTCTCACGATTCTCTCGAGTAAATGCCGTGTATTCGTCTCGGTGCAGAGAGGGATGAATCATCGTTTGAGGGCCTTCTTTAGACCATCTCTAGAAAACTGGGGCATAAGCTTGCATATGTTACTAGTTATCAAGCCAGGAAAATGGTGGGGGAATAATTGACATTTATTGGGAAGCCTTGGTGTGTCACCCTTAATGGAAAAGGGACGGTTTTTGAGAATAAGAAGAGAAAGAGAACTTTCATTTTTTTGAGTAGCTTCTGTGTACTTCGGTGGTTCTTAGCCTTTCAGAGATCAGGTACCCCTTGAAGGTTTGTGGACAGCCAGAGACGATTCTTAAAAAAAAAAAAAAAAAAAGAATGGGTACATACAACATTTGTCATACAATTGATGAGACTCAGAGACTCTGAAGCCCATCCGTGGACACTCAGTGTCTGTGAACGTAGGGTTAAGAACCCCTATCTTGTATACTGTACTTGGCACTTTAATTATATTATCTTCTTTGGCCTTCACAGTAACTTAAGTGTCCTCCTTTTACATTTAGGGAAGCTTAGGCTTGACTTTGTTCAGGGGTTTGTTCGGGTTTGATTTGATTCCAAAGCCTGTACTTACTGCACAAAACTATCCTAGTGTTTGAAATCCAAAAAGGTTATTACATTTAAAAAAAAAAGCTGACCTAAAACATGCATTGGTTAACATGAACTTTGGAGTCTGACTAATGGAATTAAACTCCTGCTCTGCCTCTTACTAGCTGTATGACATTGTGTGAATTAATCTGTCTGTACTTCAGTTGGTTCATCTGTAAAGTGGAAATAATCTTAATAGTACCTGTCTTTTTTTTTTTTTTTTTTAAGATTTTATTTATTTATTCATGAGAGACAGAGAGAAAGAGAGGGAGAAGCAGGCTCCCAAGGAGCGGGAAGCCCGATGCGGGACTCGATCCCAGGACCCTGGGATCATGACCTGAGCCGAAGGCAGACGCTTAACCATCTGAGCCACCCAGGCACCCTTAATAGTACCTGTCTTATAGGGATGTTATCAGGACTAAATGAATAAGAATGTGAAGTCCCTAGAACAGTGCCCACCACAAATAAACCCTATTAAAGAATTTTTTATTGTTGTGTGTCTTTCAACATGTGGGGGCATTTGAATTTTATGCCAATTGTATTTTAATATAGTTGCTCTATTTTGGAATTTGAATGTGTTGATATCTCCAAGAACCTTATAAAGTTTTCAGTTCTTGAAAAGCTAAGTTGCAGGGTGACTTCTCAAGTTGACTTGTGTATAGACACATTTTTATTCCTTCTCCTTTTTCTTTTTGGCTTGCAGGCATTTAGATAGCTTTGTAGTTCACATTATCTGACCTCGTAGGCTTTGAGTTTTTTATGTTGAAACAGTTTTATTATTGAACCATCTACAGATAACGTATGTGCCTTCTGCTTTACCCCATTTGCGGTCACTAGAAGTTCCTAATCTTTTTGAGACAGCTTGCGTGCAAGTTGCATTCATGGCTAGAGCTGAGAGCTACCACTTTTTCGATGCATTAGAACCTCTTGGTGATTAGGCAATAACCTTTTTAAGTAAACATGACCAGTTGTTTATTTTAAACATTGGATGCTGACCAGTATTACAGGTAGGGTCAGAGGGAAAATTGCATATAATTAAATAGTTATCCGCATTTAAATTCAGCCGTTGACAGAAGAACACTCTCCTGCTAATGTGTACCATGAATTTTGGAATCCATGAACAATAGTAAATTTTTTAAAAAACAAGTAATTTGGAATAACTATTCTGAGAGTTTTCTTGTTTCCTTGTTTGTTAATACTTGAGAGGGAAATAAATTAGTGTAGAAACACTACAGGGAATGAGAACATACTTAGAAAAATGTTTTTGTTGAATTGTAATTTTATTGCAATCTGACATTCTTATAGTCTAAGATTAAAGGACTGAGATGCTTGATAGCATGTTTTGATGGTGATGGGAGGGGGGAGATGGTATTGCTTTGTGTTGGGTGGGGGCAGAAAGTAATTGCTTTTGATTACATACTTGTGAGCAAAAGAAATACTTTTAGTCCTTCTCAGCAGTCAAGAGGGTTGTTTTGTATTTTTCTGCAGTCTTGAAGAGAAAGAATTTTTTAAGGCATTCAACCCACAGTTTTGAACACATAATTGGGTTGGACTTCATTCCATTCACTAATTGGTCTTCCTTACCAATTGAAGTTAATAACAAATTTCTTTATAAAATTAAGGATAATGAAAGATTCGTTTAAAACTCTTGTATTTCAATGTTAGAAAGTTAAAGGTAGATTGACTTTTGTGGCCATCAAGGGAAGAAAACTAATTCACAGATATTTTCTTCATTTCCAAGTTACAGTTTTTACACTTCTTTTTATGTCTCATGTAATGAGTTTTTTCCCCCAACATTAGTTGTTATGAATTATTTTTCAGTTAACTCGACTGCCTTCTAAATATGTAACGTGGTGTACAGCATGTTCTGTTCCTAAGGTGTTGATACCAAATGGCTTGTAAGATACCTCAGAGGTACTTACCGCTGCATGTTCACTCAGTCAGAAGGCATGTATTAAGGGCCCATTCTGTGTGTGTTACTCTTCAAAAGCTCAGGCCTGAATTGGAGATAGACTTGTGAACAGATAAATTATGGTGAGGTCATCCAACAGAGGTATGCAAATTGAACTCTTTCATAGGAATTACTCTACTTGTTCATCTTTATGGAAGTGGTCCAGGTCAGAGTACTGTTGTGTAATATGTAATATTACAACATACCATATAACAAATAAGACTTATGAGCTTAACAGATTCTAGTATATCATTGCACTTTTTAAATTACTTTAGTCCTTAAATAGCTTAGGTTTAAATTTTAATTTATCTTTCTTTGGTTTCTTTTTCTTTGAAGGGTTCATGAATGTTTAGGCTTCATTAATATTCTTTTATATAGTAGTTTCAAACTTTTTTTTTTTCTGTTAAAGATTTTATTTATTTGACAGAGAGAGAGACAGCGAGAGAGGGAACACAAGCACGGGGAGTGGGAGACGGAGAAGCAGGCTTCCCGTGGAGCAGGGAGCTTGATGCGGGGCTCCATCCCAGGACCCAAGCCAAAGGCAGTCACTCGACCGACTGAGCCACCCAGGTGCCCCAGTTTTCAGACTTTTGAGGTTGTTTAGCCTTGTTGCAGTTTGTGTGTGCACATGCATCTGTGGAAGGGGGCGTGCACACGCATGCTTGACGCCTTGGTATGCTGTTATGTCACCATGATGTTTTCCTGGTGGGACTCTTGAAGCCTGTTCTACAAGTTATGGTTTAATAGAGATGAATATTCATTTAGTTATCAGAAACCAAACAGTCTTGGTAAATATATGTTTTGTCATTTAGCCTGAATTGAACTGTACCATGTGATTTTTTTTTTTTTTTAATTGGGGGAGGGCAGAGAGAGGGAGAGAGAGAACCTCAGGAAGGCTCCACACTTAGCGTGGACACAGGGCTTGATCTCACAACCCTGAGATCATGACCTGAGCCAAAATCAAAAGTCAGACACTTAACCGACTGAGCTAGCCAGGCGCCACACCATATGATTTTAATATGAATTTTTGTTACCTTGGATAGTTGAAGGATTTACATCGTATTTTTCGGAGCTTCTAGCTGCAGCATCATTTCAGTGCAGTTTCCCTGTTGGTGTTGAGATGCTAGTAGTCAACATCTGTTCATTGTATTTTCTATTCATTATCCTTTTTGGCCAGAGATCAGGTAAAGGTAATCTAATAATATACAACATACATTTTCTGCAAGGTCCTCTTGCTCAGAGATCCAGCCTAGGTTATTTTAACCCCTCCTTTGTCCACTTAGAGAGGTTCCACTCCAAGGATACCCCCTGGTGTATGCGGTAAAGCTATTAGGAAGAAAAAGAAGTTAAAACCTCCCAAGTATGATCTAGTTTCTCATGTCTTGGTGAAGAAGGAAACCCAGCTGGGCTGTGTAAATGATTTATAGGAAAGATTGAAAAGGATTTGAAAAAAGTGTTTTAACCAAGCATTACCTGGATTGGGTAGGGATTAGGGAGGCATGATCAGAATCCTAGGGAGGGAATGAGAATGTAAAGTGGGGAACCAGACGTGATTTTTTAAAAATTACATTTTATTTTGGAGTAATTTTAGATTTATAGAAAAGTTGCAAAGATAGTAGAGAGTTCCTGTGTATCTTTCACCCAGTTCTTCCCCTAATGTTAACATCTTACATAACCATGGTACATTTGTCACATCTAATAAGAAATTAACTTTGGTACAATACCATGAACTGAACTACAACTTTATTTGGATTTTACAAGTTTTTCCACTAACAGCCTTTTTCTGTCCTAAGATCCAAACCAGGATACCACATTGTATTTAGACCCTGTGCAATTTTGATAAATAGGTTGGGGTTTCCAGTGAGCTTTTTCTCTGCCATGTATGTGGTTCAGTAATCACCTCTGACCTTTGCTGAAGAGAGGAAGTCATTGACCATGAGAATAAACAATACTGTGTAGGTAGTGTTTTGTACCTCCTTAATTCCCCAAACATTGGTAACTCAGTGGAAGAGTTGGCTTTGCTCCCAGGAGGGTGGTATGAAGTTTCCTGAGAAGCTAAGAGCTAATCCTGATTGAGGGGCCCTTCCTGGGCTCCACTAACACCACGTGCTCACTTCATAGACTTCACTACACAGGACTATCACCAATTGGTTTACTTGTCTGTCTTCTGTACTAAAC